TTTGAAATGAGTTGAGCAAGCATCCTACTTTTTGTTGATTTTCACATTTGAAAAAATGGGTATAATAACAGGACTTCATTCATGGAGGGAGGCCTGGTACCAAGTGGGTGCTTCATAAAAATTGTAATTACTCTTTTTTCTTTTGTTCTATCCTTAATAATTAGACAGTGACATCTCAGCCAGATGATACACCATTTGATGTCGTCTGATAGACCCTGTCCGTAATTCAAAGGCTGCCATTAACTTTGACCCCTAAAAGTGACTGTTTTTTCTTTTTTTTGAACATTTTACTGCAGTTTGGGTAGATGTTTACAGATCAAATAAGTGTATCATTCAACAACTTATTTATATATATATTGTTTTGTAATAAGAGTTGCAAATAATTATAGAAGGTTTCACCAATTTGTGGGCCATCCTTGCACAGGGATCATGCTAATCTTTTCTGAATCATTCCAATTTAGTATATGTGCTGCTGAAATGAGTACAACTGAGTTCTTGTATCTTACTCACCATTACAACAGTGACTGGTCAGTAAAGTATTTGTTGAATCACCTTCACCTTACATGCCTACATAACACTGACAATGTGCTCCTCCCTATCCAATCCAATATTAGCCTCTTGTATACTGTAAACTCGCATACTACATAGCCTCTTCATTTATATTTATGTGGCATATTTTTATCCTTCAGTAAATACCACAGTTGTCCAATTATTTCCTCACTTGAACTAAAGCTAGAAACTGGCTATTTCAAAATGAGACAAATGAAAGTCTGCTAAGCGTGCTTCAATTTCCAACCATGTCATTTCCACTTCAGATGGCAAAATCAAACTCTATTACCCAATATTTAAAAAAAAATACATATTTCGTTAGAAAGGCCATGGGTGGTCACTTACTCTTTTAGTCAGCTGAGTATCCATCATGAAATTGTGCACGTGTTTTTCTGCTTTGGTAAGTTCTAGCTTCCTCGCCACCACGGCTACCACCAGGGCGGTGCAGCCGGCGCCCTGGAAACAAGGAGAAGAGAGTGTCACTACGACTTAGCTCTGTCTCAGAAAATGTAATAGCATGTTCGGTGCTAAGAGAAGGCAGTTTTCAAGATAAAAGCTCTGCAGGATTCAATGTCTTCAAGTGAATATTGCAGAAACTCATGGTCAATGAGCCTTTAGAATGGGGTTTAAAAATATCGACACCATCAACAAAAAGCAGTACACATTTTAAATTCTAAAACATACCTGAATAAAACCCATGTCTGTCATGAGAAACAAATGGTTAAAAAGGTAATTTTGTAAGTGTTTAGAAACTTCAAAAAATAGATAAAATCCTGTTATATACTACAAGTATAATGGGAACAAATTAAATATGCAATTAGCATAACTGCATATCCTAGAGTATTTTTTTTTTCAGGAAAAAATAAGATTCCATACTCTTCTCTCAAGATGAGGGCATTAGGCTCCTCAAGTGCACAGTGCCAGAAATGAGAGGGATGGATGACCTCCGTGGACTCAGAGCACAGGATCTGAACCTGGGGACTGCCAAAGGGAAGAGACAAGCCAGCCTCATATTTCAGAAGTGTGCCAATGCTTGGGCCCCCTTTATATTGCAGGTACCAACAGCAGTCCTTTGGGCAGCGAGCCACTGTGCTGACAGTTGGGGAAGGGAGGTGGCAAACTCTGTGGAGTGGCCAAGGTTACAGTCCCCTCCGACCATGGTTAAGGTGTCCTCATCACAAGTTGTGAGGCAGAAGAGTTGTACGCTGTGAGACTAAGTGATTACATGCAGTTAGGAGGCGAGGTAGGAGAGACCAAGGAAGGTCACTTTGCTACCTCGCCAGTCCTGGGCAGCTGGGAAGAAAAGTGCCAATGAGGAGTTCCACATAGACTCTCAACCCTGAGAGGCCAAGAGACCTGCACATAGTCTCGGTAATCTCAGGGAGCAGATAACCAGAGCGACGGGCAGGGCACATTTCCAAGCCCTCAGAACAGGGGCACCACAGTAGGATGTTAAGTTACTTGTGGATCTTTCAACAGACATTTCTTGTACACATGAACTCTGTATTGCCTCTTTTCTGTTGACATAGAGAGGTAGAGTGATCGTGGTATCTCCATCCAACGAGTCTCAAATTCTCACAAGGTAACCTGGTTTCCATCACTATTAGTAAAAGCAAAAATGATCCCACTTCTGTTGAGTGGATGCTCTGGCTGAAAGCAATCATATATAGGGTTTCCACAGCTGAAATCTTTTACTGAAGCAGAAAGCCTTATCTTTCTCCCACGGAGCAGCTGATGGACTTGAACTGCCGACCTTGTAGTTAGCAGTTCATTGCTTAAGGCATTGCCTTTAGGACCCCTCTATCATTATGAGTAAGTCTGACAAAAGGCTGCCTTTCATTTTCATCTAAAAAGTACTAATTAAAGCAATTATCACCTTAAAAATGAGGTAGTTAACTTTTTGGATGGCATATAAATTATACTATACACATATTATTGTGGCATTCAAATTTTTTACTCATAAAGATTCAACATAATATTTCAATATGAAGCTAGAAAAGTAAACACAAAATGTGTTCCAAATTGCACATCTATTTAAGATCACCTTGGAGAGAAGGAACAGAAAGAAATAACCTGAGCTGTGAATAAAGGTCATCTCTAAGTGTTGGAATATTGGGGACATATTTTTTTAAGTATTTTTCTGTACAATCCAAATTTTCTGTACAATGCACATATTATAAAAACACAAAGTTGCACATTTAAAAGTGACAATTTGTGGCTTATGATAGCATTTCACCTAGGAAAAATGATATTTTTATTTTTTTAAATCATTTTATTAGGGGCTCATACAACTCTTATCACAATCCATACATGCATCAATTGTGTAAAGCACATTTGTACATTCATTTCCCTCATTATTCTCAAAACATTTGCTCTCCACTTAAGCCCCCAGCATCAGGTCCTCATATTTCCGCTCCCTCTCCGCTCCCCCCTCCCTCATGAACCCTTGATAATTTATAAATTATTATTTTTCATATCTTGCCCTGTCTGACATCTCCCTTCACCCACTTTTCTGCGTCCGGGAGGAGGTCATATGTAATCGGTTGTAATCGGTTCCCCCTTTCCAACCTTGTAATCGGTTCCCCCTTTCCAACCCACTCTCCCTCTACACTCCAAGTATTGGGAAAAATGATATTTTTAAATGACTAATAGTTTACTTAGTAAATCTAACAGTATTCTTTTGTCCACAACGGAATGCCAGTTTGGGTGGAATGAATGATTTCTGCAACAGATTGGACAGGGAGACGAGTTCAGGAAAAAATAATATGAACTGCCTTACCACAGCCTGATAATGATCATCACAGAGAGAGACTGCTGTTAATGAGGAGCTACTATTGCTTAAATATGCTATTTTCAGGGGAACTGAATATCCTTGCCCCCCTAGCTTTACTAAGAAACCAGCATTAGAAATGGGGTGACAGCGATCAGAACACAAGGCTGCAGGGGAAGACGCTGCTGGTGGTGGGTGACCTGGAGGACCACAGAAGGAAACACAGCCTGGGCCTCCCTGGGGAAGACCCTAGAAGGTACAACCTGGCTTAACCCTAGGGTTTTAGCGATGAGACGAATGGAGGACAATCAAGTGATTACTCAATGATAAGTCTTAAATAACACTTCCATTTTTCCTTTCTTTACCGAATCTCTTCATAACATCTTTTCATTAAGGTGATTCCAAGGGATAGCAATCCTGTCAGACAGAGCAGACCTGCCCGCAGGGGTTTCCAAGGCTGAAACCTTTACTGAAGCCGGTGTCACAGCTTTCCTGTAGCCAGCAGCCACTGCCCTATCAGTTCCCAGCCCAGTGCTTTAACCACTGCGTCACCAGGGCTCCGCATCTCCCAACCCCAAGTTCCTTGCCATACCAGTTATCTACATGTAGGGTCACACACACATTCATCTGAGGGGCTTCAAAAGGAAAACTAGAATGAAAGGGTAATGTGAATTTCTCATTCACTTAAAGTCTTTTTGTATTTGTAGTCATCTACATGTTCATTACATAATACGAATCATTGCATTTCAAGTAAAAAGTGAAAGATTTGGATTTACTTTATTTTATATGTTTTAAAACATGAATGTTTCAAAATTGAGCTACATGGTGAATGAACAAAATAAAATCAATCCTGTTCCTATATTGTAACTGGTGCATATTTTACATCCGTGGTCTCAACTTTGACTATGACTTAAATCACTTGGAGAGTTTATCAAAATCCCAAAGCTGAGGCTATGGATGCATCTAGCCAATTAAATCAGAAATGTCCAGGATTAAACCTAGGCACCAGAGTTTTGTTTGTTTTGTGTTTTTAAAGATTTGTCTCTGCATATGGACAGGACGCAGATGTAGAAAAGCTCATTCTAATGATTGTAAGTGAGACAGCTAAAGGCTTTTAATCAGTTACTTGGCTTTTATGTCTTGAACGCCTTCATAAGGAAAACAAGAAAAACAAAGGCAGATGATCGAGAATTAGAGGGGACATTCAAATGTTTGTGGGAAAATGGGACTAAAAGATAATGGAACTTTCCCACAAATTTATTGAAGCCCCCTTCACAGGTAAGGGATGTTTGGTCTCTGTTAATAATAATAATAAATTTACATGGGTGCAAACAATATGGCAAGGTGTTTTCAAATCTCAAAACCATAGGGAAACAATGGCCCTCGGAAGTGTTATACCCGTTTTCTTGACTTTCCAGAGAGCTACCAAAACGTTCTGGACGACATGCCTGGCATTTGTCTCCGCTGGCAGGTGGTCACTGCTGAGACCCCTTTGGAAAAAAATCGAAATCCTATTAGGAGTGGAAAATCCCTGATATCAAGAGCCTTTCGAAGTTGATTTTTATTTGTGTTTATACTTTATTCTTTCTTGCTGCTGGCCCCTTTCTAGTGAAGTGTTCTCACCGGGTTGTCTTAATTTACATTCTCTAATTGTTCTCTAGATTCTAATCTCTGCTGTAATGGCTACACAGAATTCACGGTCAAAATTCATGGTTGAATGATTTATTAAGGGAGTTCGTTTGTGATGCTAGTAAGAAATGCTCATGGTTGACTTGTCTATCAAGACGTGTTACAAATTCTTTTAGGTCTGCTAATAGTTGCCAAAGGGGCACACCACTCTGCTGTAAACTTCAACCGCAAGGCACTCAGCTCAGCTCCATGGGTCAGCAAACCCAGCTCCCTAAATTCAGTGCTCAGAACCACCCCACCCCAGGAAGCCTCAGCCCAAAGACACTCAGCTTCAACTTTCCTGTGTCAGCAAACCAACTTCCCAGATACAGTGCCTAGGGGCACCCTACTCCGCAAGCCAGCCTCCTGTACCAGAGCACTCAGCTCCATGGTTGCTCTGTTCCCATCACTCTGTGCCATGTGCTGGCTCCTGCTTCTGCGGTCTTCTCTATCCAGGAGCCTCACTGCACAGGGATCTCAGGTTCAGAGGCTGTGCCC